GCAGAAACCAGAAGGAACCCAGCAAGGAGGACGGAAATCAGACCAAGTCTTGCCATTGGGTTGAAAGTTTGAGAATTTAAGAATCTGGGTATTATTTGGTTGGAATTTGACGCTTTTAGATGCTGAATAGGGTTGGGAATGATTTGGGATGAGCAGGTGGTTTTATAGAATGAATGTGTGGTGTTTGGGGTTTGTCCTCTCGGTTGCTTGGTGCTCAAGGGAGTATGGTGCTGTTGGGGGAGAGTGGGTCCCATGTGCGATGTGTGTGAGAGAAAGAGTTAAAACTATATTTGGGTGTCGGAACCATCATCTAGCTCTCTATTCATTCGATGCATGCCATCGTCCTATTATAAATTCTCAAAAATGCTACAAGAAGTTATAAACGCACACATTTTTTGCCGCAGTATATGTTATCTACCAAAATACAGTGGAATTCTGGAAAATACTATATGAAGTTATGAACGCATCGCTACTTTTTCACATTTTCATGCGCATGCTTCCTTTTACTCAACATTTATGTGACTTGGGTTTAGGTAAACTCACTGGTCAATGCTCCCTATGATCAACCAGAACAAGGACAAATTAACCAGGATGGCGTCATCCCATCCCAATGACAATTTAGCCGGATTGAGTGGACATGGTTTCCACTTGGAACCACCATAGTTATTGTTAGGTTTATTTTTAGTTACGCTGTTGGAACTTGACCTTGGTCTTATTTTGTTTTCTGTAACTTAAAAGTCATCACTTTACTTCCTGAAACTCAATATTTGCTCCACTTTACCATGTTTATGTTTTTTCTGTCAAGTTCGCTCCATTTTGATCTCACTTTGTCTCTCGAAACTCAATTTTGATTTCACTTTGCCCCTTAAAACTCAAAAGTCGTCATTTTGCTCCATAAAGCACAATTTCTAAAAAGCACGAGCAATTGTATTTGGATTCATCCAGCTCCACGTTAGTTTTACAAGTTTGAGTGTGATGTCCCATACGAATGAATTGTTGCACAAAATAACTTCTTCCATGTATACCCACAAAAAATTCTAATATGTGATCAAGATATATCGAGTTCAGGTATATCGATCTATTATCACATTCACTCGTAACTTTATGAGAACTTAAGAAGGATTATTTATGGGAATTTGTCATCTTGAACTACAACGATACATAAGATATGATAATAGTGACATGTATTATTTGATTGTAATGTTTAAGGGAGCTTTGTGGTCCTATAGTGGCCATGTGTAGGACTGGTAAGTTGCAACTATCACATAGGTTCTTCCTAAGGTCAAGACTTGAGTGCATAATTAGGTTAGTTGGGATACCTGTGGCCTTGGTTTTTCAGTTGAGGTATGCTAATCCTGCCCTTAAATTCGAATCCCATGTTTGCCTGGCTTGATAGATGCAACACATTTGTCGGCATGTTTGTGTCCACAATGTCAATAGCAAACCATGTCTTTGGCCTAATAGCATTGGCAACGACTACCTTATCCAAATGCTGACGGCTTAAGATACTTCATGCTTCATGTTGCAGAACTCCAGGAAATGGATCGAGCGGTGGTCCTGGTGAATCGGAGATAGTGCTCCATCGGCATTCCAAGCTCGATGTCGTGCTTCATGCTTGTTGTATGTTTCACATGCAGTGCACGAAAGATCAGAATGAGTCGGCAGAATGCAGTGTATTGCCTCAACACCTCCAAGAGCTTGGATACCGTCCTTCTCTTGGCCAGCACTTCTTATAATATCCGACCATATTTTCGTTATTGGGATTCAGATGCCCAGTCAGAAATCGCTGGATAAGTTCTCGAGCCTCCTCGCAAGTGAAGCTGAACAACAGTCCATGTGCCGGGAGTAGAGCCTGATAAATTGAGTCTTGGACTACACGTTTGTTCAGAAATGTGTTAGATAACCAAAAGCTCTTTCAGAAAACCAAAAAGGTTTTATGTCAATCACATGAAAAAAAAAAAAAAAAGTTGAAAAGGTTCAACACTTGTAAAAGCACTCAAAATTGCTTCTACCAAAAGCACTTGATTTGGCAGTGCTAGTGATAATTTTTAAAGCGGTATTTTCAAACGAGCGCTTAGTGATAATTTTTTCGAGGATTTTTACAATTCTAGACCCCATACCCTAATTGATGGATGTAGAGCCTACAATAAACTCATTAACGGTCGGAAACCACCAATGCCCATGGCATGCCCCATGCTTATACGAATGTGTCAAAACATGAAGGACGAAGATCTTAAATCGCTTTATAAAATCAAAAGACAACAGATTAGAACGAATGAAAACTTCATCCAACCCAAGTGTAATTTGACAGATAAAATAAAAAATTGCTCATCTCCCACAATCACCGTGTATGTATGCTGAACATGTACATTATGGCCAAGAAGATCAAAGGCCGACTCTTCATTCATCATCTCGATCCTCATTTGTTTGATCTACATTCGTCGTATCATCATTCTCTACATTAGATGAAAGACCATTCGCCTGATCCTCATCCTGAGCGGCACAATCCCCCGAGTGGTCTGATCTCGCTGAGGATTCTGAACCTGCAGATGATGCTAACAAGGGAAGGGAGGACAGAGTTTTTGTCGATGAAGAATCCTTTGATAAAGTGGAAATTGAGATATTAGGGAAGTTAAGACGGGCAGCAGAACTATACATGGCCCTTGCCGCTTCATCATAAGCAAGGGCAGCTTCAATGGCAGTTGGAAAAGTGCCTAGCCAGAGCCTACTTCCCCTGTTGGGTGTCCGGATCTCTGCAACCCACTTGCCCCATGTCCTCTGTCTAACACCTCTGTAGTTACAGCGAGAGTTCTCAGGTCCTCCCTTACCCTTCATACATCCCTTTTTTGATCCCTTGGCTGGTACTCTACGGAACGGTCCACCCTCATCATTGCATGAATCCAAATGGTCGTTGTACTCTTTCCACTTCGCAAGAGTCTCAGCCACAGGATTGGGTCCATCCCGTCTTGTATCGGTCTTGACCAACTTGGGCATGCAGTTCAAATTGTATTGAACAGGAAAAATAATGATGAGTGACCTGCCAATACAAAGAAGACTTTGTCTTTAGAAATGATCTTTATTACCAGAGCAATACTTAATCACTGGTAAACTGCTTACATCAACTCCATGCACCACAAACGCAACAACCGATCAAACCAATATATGGGCGCAATGCAACTACAATTCCTTCTAGTACTGATTCAGTATACACTGAAACTAACAGAAATGCAGCTCCTAGACTGCGACATCTTGAAGCTCCCTCTGGAGTGAAGGGCTATCACAAAAGGAGTTGTCTTTCTAAGGTAGAAAACGCAGATGATTTCGCTACCTTCGAAAGATTAAGATTTTTAACCTCTAAAAAGCATGATTAAGCATGGGGAAATTGGATACGGTACTAACCTAACACATTTTTCAAATTAGCAGCAGCCATCAACTTATCGAGAAAATGCACTCTTCAAGCTAGACACTAGAATACACACCCCCAACAACTTTATCATTGGACAAAACAATAGATTCTTAAAAAGGCGACCTTAAGCCAACAAGGCTCCTCGCTTTGCGACGGTCGGGGGAGGAATGTCTATCGTGCGCAGCTTTACCCTTGCTTTGCAAATTGCAAAGAGGCTGTTTCCACGATTCGAACCCGTAACCTTTTAATCACAAAGGAACAACCTTTCCGTTGCACCAAGGCTCACCCTCAAAACAATAGATTCTTGATGACGAATATTACCTCCAACTTCTTAATTTTCGAATGCACGAAATGTACGACACAAACGTACAAACAGTCGATCAAAAGCTTGACTTTTTCAGCAATACGATTCCAAATTTCCAAAAAACCACATCAATTTCTCTTCAATTTTCCCACACAAACCATTCAAACCAAACAATTAATCAACTAAGATTTTCCACTGTAATTTACATTACCCTTCCAATTAAAAAATTAAATAAACAACAAAATTTAACTAAGATGAACATTGTCATATAGCTCTATCCAAAATTATAAAAATTTAAAATTTAAAATTATAAACTTAAGATGAACATTACCCTTTCTACAGCCTCAACTTTGGAACTTACAAAATTTATATACCAATAATCTAAAATTACGGATGAAAAATAAAATCTGTCAAATAATTTTTAAACTAGCACAGATCTCAGCAAAATTTGATTTTAAAAAAATCGAAATTGTTACCTTGTTTTTGTTCCGGGACCCCCTTTAAGAATTGAGGCTGGTATCTGAAGAGGGGGCAGCAGAGCTTGGAAGATAAAAATGGTCAATGCTCCATGGAAAGAGAGTTTGAGGTTCAAGCTCACAACTGACACAGCACAAAATGACAAGGGAAAAAACCAAATAAGCCCTAAACGCCTCAGTTTTGCCCCCAAATGGATTGTAAATTTTAGAGCTCCTTTTTTTTAATCTTTGAGGGATTTTTCTCATCATTTGAATTTTAGACACTAGTTCCGGCCCAAATATTGTCAAGTGTGAGATGAAAGATAGCCCATGAACCTAATAATCTTGGTCTGAAAACCTAAATGCAAGTTTATTTCTTATTACTGTCTCTCTACACGCGCTTTCACGTATGCAAGAGGTATTTTCTAAATTACGAACGTTACGCATCCCTAAAAATGTATTTTCACATCAAAGAATCAGTTTGCTGACTCATTAGCCACGCCACTCTCCGAGTCATGGAGATATCATATTTCTAAGCACTCTAAAAAACTATCTACATTTTCAGCCTATCACTTATGGTATTTCTTGTTTATTGCAAAAATATATATACAATATGAACTACTTATAAACCTTCAATTCAAAACATAACTCGAGGGATAAGGGCACTAAACCATGGTTCATACATGAGATAGTCTCTATTCTCATAATCATCCTACATCCTAATTTATTGATGTTACAACCACCCCCAATTATATGTGTTATATATTATTTTTACCCCAAACTGCCACGTGGCAGTAATCAAACTCACCTCTCTTTTCTCTTTCTGTCCCCCCCCCAACCCCGAGACCTCTCTCTTCTTCATCTCTCTCTGTACTCACTCTCATGTCTATCCCTCTCATCCTCCCGCGAGCCTCACCCATTATCAACCTCGTGCCTGCACCGCCTTCACCATCATTACCCCATCATCTTTCCCTCTCTTTCGTCTCTGCGGGACACAAAGGAACCCAGATAAGCTCTCTGGCGGGATTTTTCCTTTTCCTCCGGTTAGGTAAGGTTGGATTCCTTTTTAATCCGCCATTGATGTTGTTGGATGTTGTGTGATGAGATTTATAGTGTTTTCCAAGGTTTTGAAGACGGGAACGGCGCGGGGGAAGCACACCCATTTTTCTGGCGAACCCGTGAGCTTCGAGGGAATTTCCAGTCACCTCCGACCGTGTCACGGTTATTTGAGGGTAGCAATCTCTTCCCCTCATCTTGCTCTTCATTTTCGTACTTAGATCAGGGTCTAAAACCTCCGTTTTCAGGTGACCGGAGCTGTAGCAGCTCCGGCCTTCTTCTTCAGCAAAACCAGGCCTCTCAGGCCATTTAGAAACCCCACGGGCCTTAGCCGTTTTGGGCCAGCCCAGTACCCTAGCCCACATAGTTTTTATTTTTAGTTTTAGGTTTTTAAAACCCAAAAGGCCACGGGCCTTATACCGAAGGGCCTTAGGCCGGTTTCTATTAAAGGGCTTAAAGCCCAACCCTTTTGTAAGGCTTTAGGGCCGACCTTGGTGTGTGTGGGTTGTGCTGTGTGTGCAGCTCGTGTGTGTGTGTGTGTGCGCGCGCGCGTGTGTATATGCATGCCGTGCATGTGTGTGTGCTGGTGGTGTGTGTATGTGTTTGGGCTTAAACCCAAACCATATTCATTCACCCTAAAACCCTTTTTAACCCCAAAAACCTAAGAATTCTAAAACGCATTAGACCCTAACCCATCCAACCCAAATCCTTTATTTTTAATTAGTACAAACCCAAATCTTTTAGAAAATCCTTTTATTTATTTATTACATTTTTATGCTTAGGTGAAGTTGCTAGTGAAGAAATTCTAAATCCTGATTCGCATAACTCTTCTGCTAAAGAATATTTGTGAGTGGACCCCTTCTAAAATTACATGATTTTATAATTTAATTGCACAAATGATTAGCATGCCTACGAGTTTATGATTTGATTTATGTTAAGCATGTTTACTGAATATATTGATTTTCGTCTCGTGTTTTTGGTGAGGAATTATTTGTTAGCCTATATTGAGCTATATTTTAATATATATCGTATTTTTATAAAAACCATGAACTGGTAGACTATCTGATGGATGAAGATAGGATGCTAGAATATGTTTTAGAAACCCCTCTGTATAGTATAGACGATGGATGACTTTATACTATGAAGTGGTTATTTATGAGAGGCGTAACTATTTGTGCATACCTAGAGGACAATATGCTGCCTGGGGCGAGGATCTGGTGTTGGCATTTAGGTCGGGAGAAATAATCTCTAACTACGAGCTTAAGGACATGGAGCAAGCATTAAGCCGGGAGTTGGTAATCTCTGGATACGGGCGCAGAGACCACGGAGCAGGCATTGGGCCGAGAGTTATATTTATTCAGTGATCTTTCTAGCAGCACATCGTGCTTACGAGACGATCTTTTATACGTTTACTGTTTTGATTTCCGCGATGTTGTTCCGCGATATGACTTTTGAGATATTTTTTGGCATGCTAGGATTTTGATTAAATCCATCACTTATTATGCTAGTAGTTTTCATTATATATAAACTGTGGGGGTTAGTACATTGATAACTGTTTTATTATTATTGTATTTATGAATTTGGTCCACTTACCTTTGTTTTGCGCCCCCATTCAGGACTTAGAAACAAGAACTACGACACGACATATGAGTCATTCCCCTACCAGTAGCAATTTATCACCCACTTGTGTGATATCTTGAAATGATCTTTCCTTCTTGTGAATCTTGATTTAGATTGTGTTTTGTACACTCTAGACACTTCCTTAAACTTTGTTCATTACTTTTAAATTCTAATGTTTATTCATGAATATTTTCTCCTAATCATTACTCTTGTAATCAATTAATGGCTTTCGTCACCCTTGGGTGTCGGCCAGCACGTGTCTATCCTAGTATTCGGGGAATATCAGGGTCGGGGCGTGTCAATTGACATGACACTCGTAGTTTGGATAGTTTCCTATGATTAGTAATCTACTTCATTTGTAAGTTAGAGATAAGTTCGATTCTCATTAAAGGTGAATTCTGTTGGTACCATATATTGGGCCTCGACTTTGGGCCTCATCCCTAAGCCCATGACAAATGTAAAAGGGGAGGGAGCCCTTATTCTATAAAAGGGACTCCCTCACCCTCATGAAAAAGATCTCACATCCAGAGAGAAACAAAGGGTCTCAGATCCAACCCTTACAACAAATGGAGGGCAGTACCCCTCTTAGCCAAACAGAGAGCAAAATGGCAAAAGCTGCATCCACAGAGAGCTCCCTTGTCGATTTATTGTAATCCATACATACATACATAATCAGCATCAGTGTGGACATAGCCCAAACATTGGGGTGAACCACAATACATCTTTGTGTTCTTTAGCGTTTGTGTGATTCAGGCCGGATTTACGTTGGTCCAAGATCCTCTGGATTTTGTGCATCAACATTTGGCGCCGTCTGTGGGAAACGACACGAAAAGTTATGTCAATTCTCTTTCATTTTTTCATCTCACCACCGTGAAACCTCACCACATTATCCACTGTGAATCTGCAGAAACCCAAGAACCAAACATCTGCATAGTCACTGCAAAACCCATGTCTTCCGTTTCAACTTCCGATCACGACGGCATCAATGGAAACACAGATAGAGAAAGAAAGAGGCAGACTCTTCAGTAGTGATGCATGAAGTGAGTAAAAATTTTAGATTTGTGCATTTTGTACATGAGGAAGGTATGTCTTGCATTCAGTCCCTGGGTCTCACTCTCACGTTCTTCAGCGCTGTCTTTCTGATTATTCTCTCGACCTCCGTTGATGGCCAGCGCAATCCAATGCCCATCATCTGTCTCAGAGCCCCATCGACAACTTCGAGCCCCTCTGGACATCGCAATCACCCAGGCCATGGGACCCACCTCTGATCGAAGAGGGTAAGCTCCGAGCCTTCTGCACGGGTACCAAGCTCCGATCAGATCTTAAGTTTCCAATACACCGCGTCTTCATCTCACCATCGTGCGATGTGTCGAGACTTCCATCTAAGTCGTCACCGTCCTTTCCACCATGAACGGCCACAACCCGTCTCAGAATAATCCCCACCACCGATCCCAGCTCCCCAGCTTGTTTATGAGCCCTACTGCGTCCCAGAACAATTCGAAGAAGAGGGCTTGAAGCCCATGAAAGATCATATAAATCTTGATTCACAGACGAAGAAGCGAGACCTGCAATCGTTGATGCGGGCGTCGCCGACGCCGCTCTCATTCACACTCTCAGCAATATTTATGGTGCATAAACTATTTTCACTTGTGGATCAGACTTCTGTGCCAAACAACCTAGATTCCTTACAAAATCATGAAGTCCTACTTTCTGGTCACTTGGCTCGCCGTCACTCACAGAGTCCTCGAGTTTGAGTTCGTCGTCGTCTTCCTCCTCTCTGTCTAACCCCTGGTTCGTGATGTTTTTCGTCTTGCCAAGGAGAATGCTCCTGCCATCATCTTTATTGATGAGGTGGATGTTATTGCCACTGCAAGGTTTGATGCTCAAACTGGAGCTGACAGAGAAGTTCAGCGAATCCTTATGGAGCTCCTTAATCAGATGGATCAAAATGTGCCAAAATATTGGCAAATTTGAGAAAAGAGCTCCATGGAAGTTTGGCTCCGATGATTTCTGATCGAAGGGTATTGGTGGAGCCATTTTGGTCGACGAGATGGATCTCAGGAAGACCATTCAGTAGGCTCAGATTGACACCACAGACCTTCACCAACTTCTGAAAAAATGATGAAACTTTCATCATGAAGGGGAGCGCATGTTCCCACCATGCCCATTGTCTGAAAAAGCCAGGGGAAAAGCGAAGATAAGATTCTTTCCTTATAATAATTCTATTATTATCTTTGATATTGTCTGCCATCTGTCAAAAGAAAAAAAAAAGAGCTTTATTTTTCACATCATTACGTTTTCTCAATACCATTACCTATCTAATATTTTATTATTATTATTTTATGATATTTGTTAACATGCTGCCTAGTGTCATGTGATTGCCCTTAACAGTGTTATATATGATACAAATCATTTACCACACAACTGAGTAAATTATTTATTTATAGAAGGCATATAGAACAATATTTTGCCTTGACAAACTTTGTCAATTTGATTTATTCATTATACGGTCATACTTATACTGTCATTTATTGTCAGGAATTATTGAGCAACTAGATCCACTGATCAACATTGTTGCTGATTAAAAGAACCCAATATGCAAACCCAATAAGCGGACCCGAATCATGTCGAGAATCAACTCATACTGAGTGCATGTCAACATAAAATAGATACTTCCAATGAGGAATAGCACGAGCCGAGCCGCCTCGTAGCGAGCATAGCCTCTAGCCGAGCAGCCTCGCAAAGAACATCGCCTCCAGCCAAGCAGCCGCCTCGCCGCGAGCATGGCCTCTAGCCGAGCAACCTCGCAACGAGCCTCACAACGAGTATTGCCTCCAACCGAGCAGTCTCGTAATGTGTGATACCTCTAGCCGAGTATTGCTTTATGTTGAGCATTGCCTTGCTTTAAGCATTGGTTTAAGACATCTAGCCACTTCGGCCTGTACATGGATTGGATTTGTAGTCTTCAGCCAAAAGACTCTCTTGACTGAAGACTTGAGGGACTTCTGTTGGTACCATATATTGGGCCTCGTCTTTGGGCCTCATTCCTAAGCCCATGACAAATGTAAAAGGGGAGGGAGCCCTTATCTATAAAAGGGACTCCTTCGCCCTCATGAAAAGAATCTCACATCCAGAGAGAAACAAAGGGTCTTAGATCCAACCCTCACAACAAATGGAGGGTAGTACCCTCTCAGCCAAACAGAGAGCAAAATGGCAAGGGTTGCATCCACAGAGAGCTCCCTTGCCGATCTATTGTAATCCATACATACATATATAATCAGTATCAGTGTGGACGTAGCCCAAACATTGAGATGAACCATGATACATCTTTGTGCTCTTGAGCGTTTGTGTGATTCATGGCCGGATTTACGTTGGTCCAAGATCCTCCGGATTTTGTGCATCAACAAATTCAAACCAAATTATTGTTGGCTAACCCATTGTAAGGCCCACTCTACTCTCCCACCCTTAATGCAGATAATATCACATGTATTCAAAATAGTCACTAATATTTATTCCATTCCAAAAATAAAAATGGCTAACTATGTAAAGCTTGGATTTGATTCGTGACCATTATACAATCGCCACGTCATGTTACTAATACACGTACTTAAGATGAAATATTTTCATACATTTTTGTTAGGCTCTTTGTAATTAAATCTATGATATTCTCTTTTTTTTTCTTTTTTTTTTTTAAATAGGGACCAGTTGTTGATTTCGTCACGGTAGTCTACTTTTTAAAGGGTTGGGAAGACTCACATAGAGGCATTTCAGCCTCCCCCTGCCCGCCATCGTATGATTCACACACGTCAAGAATCGAACCGTGTACGTGCTGTGTGGAATACGAGCTTGAAATTTGTCCCCAACCATTGAACTACCCCATGATGGTTAAATCTATGATATTCTCTAAAAGCATCTAATATTCTCCTTTACATATCATATACAGTTAATTTTTCTGTTCAACAAATGCATAATATCGCTTTTAGGTCATTTTACATTTAGCTTTGTCTCCCACTTTGATCACTTCATATATAATGAACTCCAAATTCGATGCCATCATTGTCTTTCTGTGGATGTTTTGATGCCTTCACTTGTATTTTGTACTCTGATCGATCAACCCTTTTTCCAGCCTTTAAAATTCGGTGGGCATCAATGGGATGGGACCTTATGTGTTTACTCACACAACACATATAATTATTGCCTTTACTATTGATCATCCACCTTATCTTATACTTCTTAAATGAGTGGTAGCTCCATCTCTTCATAGCACTAGAGCAGTCTTTGTCATGAGCTTGTAACTCTCAGTGTATGACGTTCGTCTTTTGAAAAAAATTAATTTTGTTCGATAATGAGTTAATATCATTTTGATATATTATTTACTAACATTATTGATGCTTTATAGACAATCCGTCATTTTCGTTCGGGTTCAAAGCTATAATTTTATATGATCATAACTCTTAAGCATTACTTTAAGTTGACGAGGGACCTTAAGTGAGTCATTTAGTTTGTTATAATAATATGGCTTCATTTAGCTTTTATGCTTTTTACAGCAACAAAAAAGTCTTATTCTACTAGGAGGGAGGCTTTATGAATTTTAGAATGTCATTGTTCTCGGTTTTGTGCCAAGTTTTCCATTAGCTCCAAGTATTGTATGTTGGTCTTCCTCTACCTTTTTATCCCGAGCCTTTGTCTTATAATTGCATCTTCTAACTAGAGTATTTGTAAGTACTCCGTTCACGTGTCCAAACCATCTTAACCGATTTTCATTTATTTCATGCTTTATATTATGCACGATAATTTTGCGCACTAATTTTCTGCTTTTGCACAATTTTTTCTAAGTAGAATGATATATTTTATACTAAGGAGAGGGGGAGTTCAGCTAAGCCATACAATGACAACCTAATTTGATATCGAATTCGTTATCCACTAGATTCGAACCTAAGACCTCTTACTTACAAATGAAGAGGAATATTATCAGATTGTAGTACTAAGTGGCATATTTTTATTTATTTTTATCTTTTAATTCTTGTTAGAGTCCTCTTCCATTATTTACAATGCCCCAGATTAATTCAATGTGAATGGAGAAATATCACCACCTTCCACATCCCCCTTCTTATCCTTTCTTATATGGGGGACCTTAGTCCTTTGAATTATGTCCAAAAATCATTTGTACAAAAGCATTAAAGTTATCCCAAATTACACTCGGTTTTGGACTGTAGTGAAACACCTAATTGAAGATTTGATGACCCAAAAAAAGGAACCTTTATGATCCATAAAATTAACAAAAAAAAAAGCTATTTAATTAACTCAATCATGCATATAATGCTAAAGTTTTAATCACTACATGGTCTTTCACATGTTTGTCGCAGAGGCTATAGTAAGCCTTGGCTCAACAATAGACTTCTTAGTTAAAATAGTATCAGAATGATCTTTGAAATTAACATAACTCCTTATTTTGGTTCCTAAATTTGAAATCGATAGAAATGGTTCATGAGTTTGTTCACCGTCAATCATTTTGATCATTTCGTGAAAATCTGTTAAATAAGACTAAAATAACAAATATACACACAGATTTTGTCAAATCATTTGGTACTATTATTTATTAAATTGAGGGTATGCCAATCTCAAAAGCCAAATGAGAAGTTTTGTCAATTTCAAAAACTATTTAACTAAAATACTCTCAACAATATTAGCAAGAACGCAAAATATCCGTTTTTTATGCAAACGACAATCTACACCACATTAGAACAAGAAATAACTCGAGAAAAGCAGAAAGAGAAACTTTCAAAGTGTATTATTGTTATATTTCTTTGATTTCTTCCTCTCTAAGACTCAAACTCTTGTGTTGTCTAAGACAATGTCAAGTAATGTCATATCAGTGTGAAAAATACAAGGTAACAACTACCAACAAAGACTTTGTTCCCACATTCCTCTTTTACAAGGAAACTGATTTGAAGTCCGTGACACAAAAATTTGAATCACAAACACTTAGGGCCAATCACTTTGGCTCCCTTTTACGTCGCTTTAATCATGGTCTCCAATTATTTAGTACCAAGTGGTCCAAGCCTCCTTTATACTTGATGGAAGATACAATCTACTTACGATTGAATTTTTTTTTGTCAAAAATGGTCATTGACATCTGAAATCGATAGAAATGATGTATGAGTTTGTTACCGTCAATTATTTTAATTATTTCATAAAAAATTATGTTCAATAAAAATCTAAATTTTTGTCATTTTATCTTTATTTTACAGAGATTTCTTACGCAAGATCCAAAATGATTGGCGGTGGACAAACTTATGGACCACTTCTCTTGGTTTTAAATCTCAATGACCAAAGTGAGAAGTTATGTCAATTTTAAGAACCATTTTGGCTAAAAAGCCATTAAAATTTGAGTGCGCGAAACTTTTATAAAAACGACATTGAAGGAGAGATATTCCAACGTAATAATTTTAGTTGCAAGAGTAAATATTCTTAATCAACCGAGCTACTCCACTACTTTTGCTCTGGTAGTAAGAAGATGAATACTCTTAATAAACCGAGCTATACCTGAGTTGTTTTGAATTTACATCTTACCCCCACACAAAAAAGATAAAAAGTTAGGGAACTTTAACGAAAATCTCCCGATACTGTTCACTTTAATGAAAAACCACATTTTTACACTAAAAAGTCTAATTCTTGTACTATTCACCTTCTCCTTTATTTTGTCCTTATCGTTAAAACTCAAAGTTTTAATGTCATTTTCATTAGTTTTTCTTTTTAAGAACCATTTTAGCTAAAAAGCCATTAAAATTTGAGTGCACGAAATTTTTATAAAAACGACATTGAAGGAGAGAGAATCCAACGTAATAATTTTAGTTGCAAGAGTAAATATTCTTAATAAACCGAGCTACTCCACTACTTTTGCTCTGGTAGTAAGAAGATGAATACTCTTAATAAACCGAGCTATACCCGAGTTCTTTTGAACTTATAGTTAAAACTCAAAGTTTTCAAGCCATTTTCATTAGTTTTCCTTTTTAAGAACCATTTTAGCTAAAAAGCCATTACAATTTGAGTGCGTGAAATTTTTATAAAAACGACATTGAAGGAGAGAGAATCCAACGTAATAATTTTAGTTGCAAGAGTAAATATTCTTAATAAACCGAGCTACTCCACTACTTTTGCTCTAGTAGTAAGAAGATGAATACTCTTAATAAACCGAGCTATACCCGAGTTGTTTTGAACTTATAGTTAAAACTCAAAGTTTTCAAGCCATTTTCATTAGTTTTCCTTTTTAAGAACCATTTTGGCTAAAAAGCCATTACAATTTGAGTGCACTAAATTTTTATAAAAACGACATTGAAGGAGAGAGAATCCAACATAATAATTTTAGTTGCAAGAGTAAATATTCTTAATAAACCGAGCTACTCCACTACTTTTGCTCTGGTAGTAAGAAGATGAATACTCTTAATAAACCGAGCTATACCCGAGTTCTTTTGAACTTATAGTTAAAACTCAAAGTTTTCAAACCATTTTCATTAATTTTCCTTTTTAAGAACCATTTTGGCTAAAAAGCCATTACAATTTGAGTGCACTAAATTTTTATAAAAACGACATTGAAGGAGAGAGAATCCAACGTAATAATTTTGGTTGCAAGAGTAAATATTCTTAATAAACCGAGCTACTCCACTACTTTTGCTCTGGTAGTAAGAAGATGAATACTCTTAATAAACCGAGCTATACTCGAGTTGTTTTGAACTTACATCTTAACCCCACACAAAAAAGATAAAAAGTTGGGGTTCACTATATCTTTCATATGATTGTTTTTCACGTGACCTAATCCACAGTGAAAGCATGCAACCTATACCATAATTGTACAATTTTTGGTAGTAGCAAGTCGGTAAAATTGGACAAAATCCCCCAAAGAGTTTGAAAAAGAGAACTTCATATTTCACATTAAAATTACCATACAACCCGAAAGCTACACGAGCAAAAGAAACAAGAAAAAATAAATTGAACAAAACATGGAGCACATGTCTATATATAGCTTTTTAACCCCCTTCTTGATTTCTTTTATACAATGTTTCTTTCTTTCGCCTTCTCGTTCTCGACTGTTATTGCTCGCACCATCAACTAGTGGCGGTGGTGCACGCACTCGAGTGGAGTCACCGGAAACCTAGCGGAATCGGTGCAGTAGTCATAGACCATGTGGTGAGCCTTAACCCACACGAGCTGGTGGTTCTGGTGGAGATTGAGCTCGGACAAAGTAGGTTCATCCCACCAGTACTTCTGGTCACCACTGCTGCTGCACTTCTTTGCCTTATCTGCGGCTGCAAGAGAAACTGGGCACTCACAGGCATTGATGTCAAAGCCCTTGTAGGTTGCGACGAAGGGTGCATGGGACCAATCTGTCTTGACCCTGCCACCCTGTGTGGCCCAGTCATCTGCATTCCAAATTGAACTGTAGACACCCATGGCTTGGTCCTTGGGGAAGGGCACCCCTTTGTTTTCCATGTTGGTGTGGACTCTAATGGGCGTCTCATCGACTAGGAACCTGACAACAATAAAAACAAACAAAAAATGTCAATAATTGATGAAGAATATAATATAAGCCAATGCCTATTGTCAACCACTTATGCAATCCCACGTATAATTTTGCTTATTGGTCCCTTTTTTTGTTTTAATATAATGGGTTTCTTTTGGGAACGTCAAAGATGAGAACTTTAAGAAGAATATTATAACCGTAACACTAAGTTCTACGCAGCATCGAAGATACACTTGATATTTTATTTTCTTTTTTCTATTGGGATTAAGTAGAACTCTAATTTTATTGTCCCAGTATCCTAAACTAATAAAACAAGCGACCATGCTTGATTGATTAGTGATATCTCAAACTAATTAAATATTATTATATAAGTAAGTTACCGCAAATGACAATGCATAATTAGATTGGAATACCACCTTATTTGGCATCCCGATTGTACATAAGTTACGTCAAGCAAAATGCCAATGGCACAAAAACAGAGCAGAAGAATAGTTATGTCCCTACATGCATCTTGCAAGATTCGTTCCTCTTTTTCATGGCTTGGCTTTTGTTTTTCTTTCCAACTTTTATATAATTTATGCAGAGTGGCCCAGAGACACGCAGATTTCGTGACACTATCTTTTTGTTTTGCTATGTTTACGATTAATGTCCTGTTACTAATTCGTAATCGAGAAGTCGAGAACGCTTACACTACTTGGCGCTGATTCCAGAAGATGGAGTAGGAGTGGAATTCCGTGGTGGGATCGAACCAAAGGTTCAACCTTTGCTCTCTGTTTCCCACACCATTGACATATATATTGGTCTGCACTGAATAAGGTTCCCCTGTAGTGTTCCCCAGAAACTCGAAGTCGAACTCATCGTGTAGTGGACCGTCCGATGACATCTAATCAGATAAATGGAATTGAATATCAGTGTCAGAGGCTGATAGATGTTAGCTGGGACCATAAAGATATAAAATTACTGAGCGATCAGAGTATATTATTTGATGGGATTAATTAAATTTATTTAAATCAATTACTAAATATAGATAGAAACAAAAAATAATGAATGCAAATCAATGGGGAAAAGTACAGAATTTTCACGAGGAAAACAGGGGAAGTGGGTAAGGTCAAATTAATAATTTTTTTTATATAAAAGTGCAGAAATAAATCGAATTAAGAAATAAATATTTTCTAATTATTCCTAAAAAATTAAAAAAAAATAACACTTGGGGTTTTTACTTACATAGAAAGCAGTGACAGTTCCGGCGGAGTCGCCCTCGATGAGCTTAATCTGAATGCTCACTTTTCCAAACAAGTACTTGTTCTTGGATTGAAACCCAGCTCCTGAAATTTCACACCCAGCAATATATTAGACCCAGCAAGATGTCTACGATTTAAACACCATAAAGTTCTTAAATTGAGAACCCAGCACCCTAATTTTAAACCCAGCATGTCATTAGTCAAAGAAATGAAAGGCTTCCAGATGTTCCTACGTCCGGCGTCGCAGACCAATAATACAATGTTACGTGCAAAAATTAAAACGAGGACCATCGTATTATTGATATCGACGCAGGACGCCGCGGTGACTCGAGGGTTGTATGTAAGTCTTTCCGCAGCAAAGAAAGTATTTAACAAGAAAATTAACGATTTCGTTGAGGGTGAGAAAAAACAGAGCTATTTTTCTTGGTGTGAAAAAAAAAATCAGAACGTAATTGCTTCAAGAACTGAAAAGAAAACATTTTTGGGAATTGATTGGTTGTTTTTGTGTGGGAGATTTTTTAAATACCGGAAAAGTTGTCGAGTTTCATGTGAACTTGCTCTCCCTCATAGTTGAAGTGATCGAGAGCCCAGGTTGGCTGGAAAAGCTCTTCAAATTTTGCTGAGCTGACCAAACCCAGCAATGCAAAAATCACAAAAGCACTCAGAGAAAAAGCCATTATTCCAAAAGCTGGAACAGCCATTGCAGCACAAGAAGAAGAGACTGGAACAGAAGAGTGTGAAGAGTGAGAAGAGAGAGAGAGAGAGAGAGAGAGAGAGAGAGAGAGTGAAGCCTCTTCTTCACTGAACTGCTCTGAGTCTGTGGAGACACAAACCAAAGACACTGGCTTTTTATAGCCCAATTTTAATTCGGCTTCTTTCAAAAGCCACTTCTCTCAACAGCCACTCACGATCCACGTGACCGGCTCAATCACCGCATCAGCCACCACGTAGGATTTCAAATTTCGATAAATGCAAAGAGTGGACAGAGCCAAAAGGATTAAAAATGTAGCCGTTACTCCGGTCTGTGCGGGTTCCCCACTTATTAGCTGGCCAACGCTGTGAAGCTGTGGAGGGGCACTAGTGCCTTACAATGTAGGACATGTCCCTGCCCAAAAGCATGGAACAGGCCAGCTGGTTCACTGACCAGGCCAGCTGTGAGTGAAGCATCTCCTTGGTGGTATTGGAAGAAAAGCTGGGGAAAGAGGAATTTGGGGAAAATTGTGGGAATGGTTTTTTCTTCATTTTAACTTGGTTTTTTCTTTTGAAAACATTAAAGAGATTTTTTCAAAAGTAAAACTCTATATAGTTTATTTTTTTTCATACTTTTAAAATAATATTTTATAATAGAGTAATGTTAAGAGATTAAATTTAAAAATTAAATTAGTAAACTAAATGATGTGTCACGAATAAGAATAAACTTGTTTATCAACGTTTAAGTAATTATTCAATCATTAAATTTCATGTTCTTAATTTTTTTTTTTTTTAAATTTAATTTAATCTCCTTATTAGTACTCTTTTATAATATTAACATTGAATTTAGAGAACTTTAACGAAAAGTATCCGGTACTGTTCACTTTAACGAAAAACCATATTTTTACACTAAAAAGGTTAATTCTGGTACTATTTACTTTACCCTTTATTTTGTCCTTATCATTAAAACTCAAAATTTTCAAACCCTTTTCATTGATTTTCCTTTGAATTTAATGTTAAATAGTAAGATCGGTTTGAGAGAATCTCTGTACCATTTCTGTTTTGTTTTTTATTTGTGTAATGACAATGCCAGCTCAGTAGAATCGCACTATACCATTCGCTATGATGGCAACAAAACCTTTGTTTTTTTTTCAGTCATTGAGATGCGTGCCCTTTTGTGAAGAATTTTTCTTATATTTTTATAAAAATTTTACTGAGGATTTAGTGTGTACGGAACTTCTTTGAATTATTACAGGACGATAATTTTGTACTCAACAAAATAACACGGCTTGAATATACGCACAATATTTAGTACTTAGATGTCTGATAGTATTTAGTACTTTTTTAAGTATTATAACAAAATTCTCGAACTGATATAAAATGAGCGAGTGTAGATTGATTGTTACTTGGCACAAATGTGGATGTAACACAAATTGTTCTCAAACCATATGCACATCCAACAAATACATGAACAACTTACGTTGAGTACGTAATTACTTAGTTTAGATTGACCATTGATTGAAATAAATATGAGTGTAACACGAATGGCTCTCAATGTATTGTGCATCAATCACAATAAGATACGGTTATTAAACAGCTTGAGCTAGTATTAAGTTTTTTGTCGTGATTACTTAAATAGTAAAAATTATATTTAACATGGCATGAACATTATCACATCCAACTAACACGAATACCAGCTTGATTTCTGAAGTTTTTTTTTTGTTTTTGAAAACACTTGATTTCTGAAGTTTGTAAAGATGATGAGAGTGAAGGACGATGGGGGTCCAAAGATTGGTAAATATTTTGCAAGGACTGTGACAATGATGGTTATAGATATTTTTATGAAACTTCGATCTAAATTGTTTTACTACACTATTTTCCCAAACAGAAAAAAAAAAGTTGCACTAACACGCGGATTAGTAATAATACAAAATCATTTAATAATGACCGAAAAGTTCAGATTAGTCAAGAGAAGAAGCTGTCCAGCACTTATGTGTATAGAGAGGTGAGTTTTACGTGTTATTTTTAGTTATTAAATTGAATAAATCAAATTAAATTAAAGAATTTAATTAAACATGAATGTTTAGGATGCTAAAAAACTGTATAATATATCTAATCTACTATTTTAGCCACTCAGTACTATGATCTGGTAGTATTTCTCTTAACATGTAAGTGAGAGATCTTAGGTTCGATCTCGTGGATAGCTAATTCACTTAGGTTGTTCATTTTGTAGTTTAACCAAACTCTTTCCTTATCTTTAATAAAAAATATATTATTGTACTAAAAAAATTGTGAAGTATTATTATCACTCCAAAAATCTCATTTTACATTCCTCATAAATATATATTTCTTTCATAATATAGAAAGTTTGAAGTGTAAAATGAAAATTTTAAAATGCTAATAACAATTTCTAAAAAATTTACTATTTTAATTATTGTATATGGTAAAATCAACCCCTAGAAAAGTGTAATATACACAAAAATTTCTGCAATGTGCTTTTATTGGTGTACAGCCTTAAGGAAAGCTTCTGATGTAATCATCCAATTGCACAGATCCACATGGCAAGAGATATTTGTGGACATTCATTGTGGGACCTAGCCGTGGAAAATTTGGCAGGCCTGCTGGCCTGCAGAGTTCAATTGGATTTATTATTTAGTACGATTTTTCCTTGAAATTATATGAAATATCTTTGATGTTTTTTCTGGTGACGAAAAACATAATTGCTAAATGTTCTCTCTTTTTATTTTGCCAAAAAATGTTATATTTTATTGTAATTACGAGTTGCCAAAAAAAATTAAGGGAAAAGTGATCAATTTTATTGAATTGAGACGATAACTAAAAGTAAATTACAAATCAAATTCTCAAAATTTCAAATGACCAATAACAATTTACGTTATATTATACAAAAATATAGCCTCCTCGTAAATTTAATGCAATTTTTTTTTTCTTTCTATAGTGTCTTTCTTAATATCTATAAACTAGTGTTGTTTGTTTTTTAGTACTACAATTTAGTGATATTCATCTTCATTTGTAAGTGAGATGTCTTATGTTTGATTCTTGTCAAAAACAAATTTGAACAAACAATATTATCTACATTAGGACGGTGAAGAGTGGGTTAAGCCTCACAATGAGTTAGCAATTACCTTTGGTAAGAATCAAACATAAGACATCTTACTTACAAACGAAGAAGAATACCACTAGATCGTGATACTAAGTGGTAACAACTAGTGTTGTTAATGCTTAAAATAAAGAAAAGATGCACCTATTTATCTGTTATAACAAAAGTTTAGAGGAAAGTTAATACATAAAATGTGTGAGAAATTTTTTTATTTTTGTTTTTGAAATAGAAGGAGAGAGGAAGGGAGTGATAGAGAATGTGGAAGTGGGAATTTTATTTTTATTTTTATAATTACATATATGTTAGGATCACATGTAAGTGAGGCTTTGAAAAAAAAAACAGAAAAATTTGGTTATGTGAAATTACATTTATACCCCATATTTTTTATTCATGTTATGTTTATTAAAATGTTAAACTGATAATTTCATATAATTTTTATTAATTAGTAAAAATTACTTTCGTTCATTAAAATACCTAAAAAAATCGAGTGATATTGTAATTGTTTGGTGGAAATTTTGGTTAACTAAATATTATTAAAGAATGATTGATGACAAGTAGCAATACCCCATGCATATAGATATATGTATTAAATTTGTATTAAATTATAGAAAAATATCTTGTGTGAGTAAGTGCAATGGCATTGGCATTGATGGTTTCTTGCAAACAAGGGCATGGTGGTAACTATGAGGCTTGAGACACATCATACTATAGGGCTATAGGCTCATGACGTAATAGGACTATTATTGGCAAAACAGTTCTACGTACAAATTCACTAGCAACTTTTTTTTTTTCTTTTTTTTTTTTGAATTTTAAAAGAAACGATAAGTTAACTTCATAATAAATTAGTAATAATATAGTTCAAACTTATCTTTAACAAAATCAAACCTAAAATATTTTACTTATAAATGAAGATAAAAATTGTTAAACTATAATACTAAATGACTTCACGATATTGCGGATATTTCAGTTGAATTCACTTGCAACTTAAAAAACCTACCAATTATAATAGACTTTAGCATTTATGCCCCTTCTGAATCGCATCAGAGTTTCTCAGACTATAATTTTGGGTTGCACTCATTTTCTAGATCCCCTTAAATTGAAATGGTGATTCAAGATTCTACCCATTTATAGATTATGGTGTAGCTGGAACCCATTTGGAATTTGATGACGTTTCTATAAAAATTTAAATATTGTGAAGAGGATCCAAAGCAATATGGGAGAAATTTGGACACCATCAGTTGATTTAGCATTATTCGGTTTTTAGTTGGTTGAAGGAAGGCTTAGTTACAATTCACACAAATCTGACATCACTTAGTGACACACCCCGTCCCGAAGGAGGGCATGCTGGCCGTCACGTGAGAGTGACGTAACCATTTACACAGTTCGGAAGCTTTAAAGAATACAATTACTAAGATATAACACCCGAGGGTGAATCCTACTTTTGTGAATTCTGTCAGAACACCGTTGGATTCCTCGTGGCCGCCAAAGCTCTGCTAACTTGAACCTGGAGAGGCGCAAAACAAAATTGAGTGGGTCAGCAAAACAAAGCTTTTCGAAAACCTTTCATTTAAAACATTTCTAACCCCTCGCCGTAAAACCTGTATATTTTCCCAGAAAAATAGTATATAAACGTATATATACATATATCATCAAAACTCCGCTCACCATCTATCAACACAACATCTCAAAAAGAATATGTCATGCCATGCCAAAATATAATATGAATGCATCAATATAAATCAGGTGAAATAATAAATCAACCGGAGACCTTATAGTGGTCCTGTACGGTTGATTCAATAGCTCAATATCCCATCCAGCCGAAGTCACCAACTGTGACATGTACGGCCCTGCCGGAGTCACCAACTGTGACCTGTACGGCACTACACTGCACATAAGTCGGAACTACCTATAGTAGTCTGTACGACTAAGATGGTGAAATAATACGCTCTAGTGCTTCTCTCATCAATTATCTGTGCACATAATCTAAGGTCACCTACCAGTCGGAACCCCT